TCCCTCCACCACCCTAAATAACTTTTCTTTTAATTTAGCTGCATTGAATTTTCATGTTTTATATTTGGTTCCTTGGTGCTAAATGTGATTTACTTAACCGTGAAACTACTATTAGGAAATCCTAGAATGGAAACAGATCTGTTTGTTACCCACTTGAATTGACTGCCTGGGTAGACTGAATTATAGCTACACTAGCTAAGTGGTTAAAATTACCCAACCTGGAACAAGATAGACATTAAAAATTAATTTTCCTTGGGAAGTTATAGATAAGTGTGGAGACATATAAACGTGTGTGTGTCCCCATCCTTCATCTCCCTCCCCAAAGCTATGTGATTATATACTGTGTTACTTTTTTTCTGAAGGGAAATTGGGATCTCATACTAACCCATTTTAAAGTTTGGCATTTTCTAAAGTCCAGTTGGGTTAATCCAATTTTTAGTTTTCCACTTACTATCACTGAAATTAGATATGTATACTATTCACATACAAACACCTGTATAATATGTACATTTTACATGTATAAATGTATGAGTATATGTGTGTGTGTATGTGTGTGTGCACGTGTGCACGAGGGAAAAACTTTTTTTTTTTGGTAATGAGGCCAAAATGTCTTCTTTGTTTTATAATGCTTATTGTAGGAACAAAGAACCTGAACAATGTTGTTTAAGTCCTCTTGTACTTTGAGGGTAAGTATAATTGGGATTAAAATACTGACATGCTCACATTTAGTAGAGAGATGATAATTCACTGGGAGCTATTCCGGTCCCACTGGTAATCACATAATTGAACCGGGTTTTTAGAGGATATTTGAAGCTATTGTTGTCTGTTGTGCAATTACATAATTAGTCAGGATCCCTGTAATAAAATCTTTTCTAAACATATGTGGGTTAGTACTAAGTAAATTTAGGGCGAGTGTTATATTTTTATTTTTAATACTTCAGTTTTAAATCAGAATTATGTAATAACTTTAACCGTTAAGCATTATTTTACCACACTACAGATGCTTAAGATGCAAAAAACTAAGCAAACAACTTACATATATTTAACTTTTAAAAATATTAACCAAAAATCGCTTTATGAACATGAACCCATTGTCACTTCTCACCTAGAGTGTTTACTTCTGGGGACCCAGGGGTTGCACATTTCTTTGGTCTTGACTATTTCTTCCACCTATCCCTAAATCATTGACATTCACGTGCATGGCTATAAAGACAAGTTAAAACTGCTCTCCGGGTTGCTTTGCTTTAACGATAACGCTACGCAGTGAGGAACGTTTCAGAACTCCTGTTACACCGAAACAGACGTGGCCTTGCGAAGGGGACCGAG